CCTTCCCAATTTCCTCAATATTGACTATAGCTTGAAAACACAAGCAATATTAGAATACCAAATCTTTATGACAGACATAAACGTAGTCCCCGGAGGCTCCATTGTGTGCCTGCTTCAGACCTCAGCCCTAAAAGGATTTTAGATGCTGCAGCTAAAACTACATGATGTAATACAGAGTTCTGGTGTTCTCTTTTAATAAAATAGTTCTAAAGAATCAACCAATTTTTACCTTTAGAAACTCTTTTTATAAATTTATTTTAAGAGAAACTTTGTTTTAACTTTGTTCCCTGTACAATTAAAAAAGCAAGACAATCCCAAGTTTGCTAGGATTAGTTAACTAAACTCTGAGTATGCTTACATAATAGAATATATTCAGCTACTAAATTCTGTAGTCAGAGTCACCTGTGATTCACCTGTGACACTTTTAAAAGATGTGCTCATTTGGGAATGACCTCTGGAGATTTGATTGAGATATTGATGGGGGAGGGGGAGGACTGATCTAGGACTGACCCTGGGCACCTGTATTTTTAACAAGCTCCACAGGTAATTTTAATGTACAGCCCGGGCTGAAAATAATGTTGAAGAAAATTGTTTAATAATATATAAAAATAGCCACAGCATGTGAAATAAGCTGTTTATGGTGTATAATGTGATTCTACTGGGAGGAAGAAATAAAGTTAACAGTGTTCATCTCTAATGATATATACAGGCAACAATCCTAGAATGCCAAAGCTCTGGAGATTCAAACTTGGATTTGCAAGTCAGTTCTTTTTTATTCAATAGCTTAATTATCCATGGTCTGTAGTATTCCTGTACTTCATATTTTTAGCTAAAAAGAGTGTTCCTGATCTTTTCAGTGGTAATTCAGGGTTGGTTACATGTATATGGATATCTCCATGTTCCTGGTTCCTTCACCTGGCTATGTATGTTCTATAGAATCTTTCCACTGCCTGCACGTGTCAGATAAATCAAAATTTGACATGCAAACCTGGATACCCACTTGGAAAAAAAAAAAAAAGGTGGAGAGAAAGCCAAGTGCTAAATGAAACTCTCTCTTAGGGCACATTCTTAGAGAGTTTTATGGCCCTGATTATAGTCTGATGTTAGCTAAAAGAGGCCATAAATCCCAGACAGCCTCATGTAGTTAGAACAAATTTTGCTTAGGACTCCAGAAAATAGACCTAGGTATCTCTCTGCTCAATATGTCGCCCACATACACACTTTAAAGTCTTTCATTTCAGGTGGCATTATCCTTTGAGAAATTCTCCAACCTGTGCACTTTCAATGTCATCATATTTTCTTTCATTAGTGTGTGTGAGTCACTACTGCATTTCTGGAATCTCAGTCCTTCAAAGGTATTTAGTTCCCAGGACTTACTCGCCTATAAAATTTCCCATTCATCAGGCGATCTGAACTGTTAGGACCCGTTGATGCTGAAGTACCATTTCCACTTAAGCAGTTGTCATCTTATTATTGAGTTAGAAGAGGCAGTGGCATTTTTAATCTTACTGGATATAATATTCCCTTGCATTCTCACAAGGCTGTTTTTGCCCAGTTTGTCACCATCCAAAGGCTGCCTTTGTTTACTCTGCCTGTCAGAATCGTACCCTTAAATGCAGTCATTTTCATTATTATCCTCTAGCTCTCTTCCCCTTGGTTCTTTTATTTCTTTGGTGTATGATGGAAAAACAGAAAGAATGAATTTCTTTTAAGATGTGATTTAAAAGTGTTTTTCCATATTCTGTCCTGAACTGTGCTGAAATCTCCCGCATAGTCATATGTGTACCTTGTGCTCGATGGGGTCTTACTTTGCAAAGCCAGACGTAATAAGGAGGAATGAAGCAAACCCAGGAAATGAACCTGTCAGACTAATCTTTTCCCAGCTGGCCCCTCCCCACCACTGCAAGCAGACCTTTCAATGAAATTGTCTAAGCACTGCTTTATTTTAAGGCATCTACTGTTGGTTTTAGATTTACATTTTGATATGACATTCCTTTTGCTGGAGGTATTTTTCATTTCAACTTGCAATGAATTGTTCTTTGAGCTATAATTATATAAATACTTAGATATTAGACTTGTTCTTTAGGATATGAAAAAATATGGTTAGCTGTTTGTTTTCACCTTATACCAATAATTTACTTAGCATTTAAATTAGATCTTGAGTTTCTGAAGGAATGTATGAGTCAGTGAGAATAAATTTTTGTACTTGAAAACTGGAGAATTTTCTTTTACTCACTTAAGGACATAGATTTCTCATTTTAGAAGTGAGAATAAAACAACTATCTAGTAAAGAGTTCGATGTGGAGCAAATGTGTGGTACTTAAAATAGTATGTTGGAATGAGAAAAAATCAGAAAGTGGTTGGAGAAGTTATACTTTGGGTAATTAAGATTTCCCCTTTACAAAGGGTGGTTAGAAGATCTTCTTGCATAATCAGGGGCCCAAGTGAACCGTTTTCTTTCCTTACTAATAAGAGAAGAAGCCACAGAAATTTTAGTTGTTTCCTTTATCATCTGTGGAGAAGTTATACTTTGGGTAATTAAGATTTCCCCTTTACAAAGGGTGGTTAGAAGATCTTCTTGCATAATCAGGGGCCCAAGTGAACCGTGTTCTTTCCTTACTAATAAGAGAAGAAGCCACAGAAATTTTAGTTGTTTCCTTTATCATCTGTTTCTCTCCAACTGTCTACTGCCTGTCCTTACCTGAATCTTTTGCTTATTAACATTTTATTTTATAAAATTACAATAGCTCTTTCTTTTTCCAAAAAAGGGCAGTGTGTGCTGCTTTTTTTTCACAGCAGCACACACTGCATTAATGTAAAAAAGACACTGTTGGTTTCTCCTACACAGATCCTGACAGCTCAAGGCTTTTCCTAAAGCTCTGTCCTCAGCCTTCTCCATGGTTCCTACTTCCCTTTTGGTGCTTTTGTGCACTGTCAAAGTTTCAGAGTTCAATTTTTGAGTGATTACCATACACATAATTCTCCAGCCTCTTTCTTGAACAAGATTCACAGAATTCCAACTTTCTGCTGGATATTTCCAAGTGGATTTCTTACTGATGCCTGAAACACATTGTTTTGCATCCCCAGTTTAATTCTGGAATAAACTACACTTAACTATTTTGGCTTATTACTAAAGTTCCAAGAATGATTCAATCATAGGAAATCTATCCACCCATAATAAAATAATGTAAGGAGAGGAAATCGTGTAATCATCTACATAGGTTCTGAAAAAGCAAAGGAGTCAGCTTCTTGTTTGACAACCCCTCATGGATTGGCAGAGGGATATTAAAAAAAAAGAAAAAAAAACAGTGAGAGGCAGGTACAGTCAGACAAAAAAAGTTATAGTTGTCTATAGACTGACCTAAGCAATTTGATAAAAATGAATATAAGACTACAAATTGCATCATGTACCAAAATAAATTTATGGTTAATGAAAGACACATAAACTCCAGGTACTCTCCTCTTATGGCTTTTTCCATTTTTCTTCTGCTGTAAAGATCCCTGGGAGGATTCTGGAAGAAGAGATCCACCCTCAATCTCAACTTGAGAGTGGTATGTGGAGGTAGAATCCCTCTTCTTCCTTCTATTTCTCTTGCAAACAAACTTACTCTTGGTAACAATATGATTTTCTATGAATTGTGAACTGCTGTAACTTCCAATTGATTCTTTCCTTTCAAAGCATCTTCTTCAATCTCCTAGGCTTACTGTACTCTTTGGTAATAGAAAACAAAGCTTCAAGTTATATCAAATACATTTTCCGGCCATACTCTTTTAGTTTTATAAATGATGGTATGAAAATTTCAGGATTTGATTTTTAGGCTTTAATTTGTTATTTTCAGTTCAGTAAATGAAAGGCTTATTTTCTCTGAAAGTTATAGGTCAAGATGGCACATAGCAGGTACCCTGTATTTTCTGATCCACAACACTCTGCAAGTTGTTGTGCTATACTCAGATGTAGAACATTTTTTAAATTTTATAAATACTCACATCTCAGGTACCTTTTTAGCAATAAATGATGTTTTATTAATTTTATCACATGGAGAGACCAAAATAGCTAAAAGATGCAGTTTTGCACACATCTGAGACTTAGCATTGTAGGCTATTTAGCATTTTTATGTGTAAAGGTGACTCATAACCTGCTACTGCATACTGGACAGCATCGTGAATGAGGACACAAAGGAAGAAGAGCCAGACCCCATACTAGGAAAGGGAGCGCAAGCTCAATATTGACCACAGATAATAATATAATTTATTTTTTAAGTTTTTCCTCTATTTTACCTCTGTACTGTTTTTTGTTTATTTTAACGTCTTACAACCACTATTGTTAGGGGAAAAAAGATAAATGACATAGCATAAATTTCAATATCCTTTTAACAAGTGCACCATGCTCATCCAGGACAGTAAAATGACTTCTTCTGTATTTTTGTAAAGATAGATTTTCCACTTTTATCTTTCTTTCCTGACAAATTGTTTCTCCATATGCATCCCAGTGATGACTATTGTTATTTTAAGATGGTAATAAATTTGTATTATGAATCTTTTTGCTCATGTTTTAACCACTCACTGTGGCTTCTGTTTCACTGCAGTGTTGTGCAGTGTTTTATAGTACTCAACACTCTACTGAAATCTGGAAGGAAATATATTGTGAATACATAGCCTGGAGCTTCCATTTTATACCCACATAATACTCTCACCGCTTTAAAAGGGGTCTCTTCCATTACAAAATGTGTGTGTGTGTGTGTGTGTGTAATATTCAGCCTATTAATTATTATTTTCTCTTTTTACTACATAATAGTTTACTATCCTTCTAAACCAAATGATCAGGTCATGTTCCTCTTAAGCAATAAGATAATTTATACAACCAGGGTATTCTATCATGAGAACATCAAAACATTTTTGTTATACAGGTATTCAAACTGTTCAAAGAAGTGGTCTCTTGTGACATTTGCGTATAGAAGTGTAACTTCTATTCACATTACTGTATCATTTTCTCATAACAGTTGACTTCAAACCTCGTGCCAGCATGGATACTGTCCATCATATGTTGCTTTTTGGATGCAATATGCCTTCATCCACCGGAAGTTACTGGTAAGGATAACAAGTTCACAGCATAAAAAGGTGTAGAAAATGTGTATTTTTTGCAAGTACAAAGTGTATCTATGCAAATATTCTATAACTGATTCATACATAGGTTTGAATTTTTTTGTAGAAAAAGAACACTTCATTGGCATCATGTGGTTATTATGGTTTATCACAGTTACTTAGTCTACTATGTAGCATATGTATATATGTCTGTTGTCATACATAGGGTGTCCAGATAAAGAAGGCTTGTAAAGAAAGCCTGAAAATTTAGATTATTGATACTCTGATGTTAATTTTTTCAAGTTCATGATTCCATCCAAAAAACACCATGGTTCTGTTCATTGAGCACTCTTTTGTTCAAGACACTGTGCTGGGTTATCTGTACATACCATTTCATTTTATCGTAATGTCACTGCAAAGCAGGTATTATTATCCCCACTTTAGAGACAAGGAGACTGAAGCTCAAAGAGATTCACTAACTTGCTAAAGGTAACACAGCTAGTTGGTGCCAGACCAGGATTGAACACTAGGTTGTCTGATTCCAAATCCAAAGTAATTTCCATTTTACCACACTGCCTCCCATTTATTCAAGTAACTGCTGCAGTTTTATAAATTATTTTATTCACTATGGTGAGTCTTAATACCATGTCATGAACGATAAACCTCTACTAAACACCTGAATACTGGTGTTTAAGCGTTATGTTTTTCACCTATACCCAGAATCACTGTTACATATTTAACAGTCCAGAATGACTTTTGTGCTTCACTTTGCATTGAGAAGGGATCTGTTTTGATGTCCTGTCCTAGCATAATCACGTAGCCTGATAGACCTTTCTCTGTGCATCCTAATATTCATTAGCCTGATGTGAGGCAGGCAGCGACTGCTTTCTAGTCTCTTTTATAACAAACAATTGTAATATGTATTTGGAACTGTTAAAAGCATAGGGCAATTAGTGGAAATCTCCGTGGACCAAGTACCATCAAAGCATTTGTTAATAGGCTTACATTATTTGATGAAAGGGGCATATCACATATGAACCCAACTCACATTATTGGGTTTATGTAAAAATGGAGTCAGCAAATCACAGTTAATATCCTTTGATATCCACATTCCAGTTTTTTGCTCCTCAGTAATTTTTTGTAAATAAAATTCTGGGATTAAAAGATTATTTTGTGACAGCTTTTTTGAAATTCAGCAAATCACATCCTTTAGTTTTTATGCTTTTTAAATATTTCTTCAGAAATTAGCAATACTATGATACTTCGAAAAGTTTGTAGAAAAATAGAATGGAAAAATATCATGAATCTTTCCATGGACTTTTTGGAGTACTCTTGTATTTACCTTTGGATTAGAATTATTGAAAATAGCTAGAAAGCATGTGAGATTTCAAAATCTTCTTGAGCTTTACTTTGACTAAAGGGAATGAGTGGGAAAATATAATAGCTCTTAAATGCTATTATGGTTCTAATTTTTAAGAAATGTTATGTAAAATGAACCAAGAATGGTTCACTGTTCTCATGTTAAGGGAATATCAAAACAAACACATTACTTTGGCCCTTTAAAAATATTTATTATTATTATTAAATATACCATTTTGAAATTATATCTATAGGGCCGAGCCCATGGTGCACTCGGGAGAGTGCGGCGCTGGGAGCGCGGTAGCGCTCCCGCCGTGGGTTCGGATCCTATATAGGGATCACCCGTGCGCTCACAGCGCTCACTGGCTGAGTGCGGTGCAGCAGGTCTCAAAAAGGACAAAAAAAAAAAAAAAAAAAAAAATTATATCTATAAAATATATTGACCAAAAGTCTTCCAAGTTAAGGAAAGAGTGGATTCAAAGAAAAATGTAAATGAAAGTGAAAACATGAATTTTGAGTAAAGTATTTGCTATATATATTATTTTGCTAAAATTATTACTTGAAAGGCAACACAGTAGAAGAAAAAGCAATGAACTAATTGGCTGGATTCTCTGGATAGATTATTCAGCCCATCTGGGCCAGAGTTGGTTTCTTTATTTTTTCAAGAGATGTACACTAGATAATTTGTAAAATCTCTCTATGTTCTAAAATTCCATAAGCCTATGAATATAAATTGCATGCAAATACTCAGTCAGATTGGAGAGACAGTATTACTAGGAGTTGGACATGTGTGCACTTGTTGACTCACCTCAAGCAAGCAGCCCCCTGTGTTTTGCCAGTCAGTTGCATCATTGAGTAATTAGAATTCTTAATAACACTATATCCATATCGTTTAAAATGGGTTTTAAGATATCTGCCTTTTAGCCCACATTCCCTCTCAATCTGTACGCTTATTGTAATTGACTTTATAACCATACAATAAGGACAGTAATTGATGCTGTTATTCATCATCTATTAACCAAGACCAGCATGTTCATTTAAAAGTAGGACCTTTTCAATATGTAGATGTAGGATCTGTTCAATATGCAAACTAGGAGAGATGCATTAAATAAAACTGTTTTAGTGACTCTAACATCCACAATCCAGCCTTATTTTCCATTTAAGGACAGTATATATTATTTATCCCCCAATATTTGGCAAAATCCATGCCTCTCCTGAACTAGAGCTCACAGAATATTTCATTGGATAAATATGAGTTGTTCACAAAAACATCCTTCACCCTCAATGCCTCACAGGCTCAGCCCTAGAGACAGTGAGCAGATGTCTTCCAACTGTTTAGCCTCTTACCGTCCCACCTGAATTATAACCCTAATAACAAAAATCTATCAGTGTCAAAAGTCTTGCATTATGTTTTCTAACATTTTTGAGTCATGAAATTTATCACACTCATCTTACAGTTGCAAATCTATTCTTCATTTGTTCCAAGATATAGACAGCGCTTAAATGAAGACTCCTAAACTTTCACATATATTTTGGGATATGATACATATAATGGTTTCTCATGCTTAAGAATTTATGAAAAACCCATTCAAGCTCTTGGGAAATCTGTAAGGGAATACAAAACTGTTTTAACAAAAGATGAAAAAGCTAATAGGGTATTTTAACACCAAAATGTCAAGCTTGGATTTCCTCTCTTTTCTGTTAGGATTTCCCGTTTTCACTTGAGGGTTCTATTTTCATTGTCAGCCAGTTGGCAAATAGGTATGTCCTTAATATAAAAAACATTTTTCCCCTGAAATTATGAAGTTATAATTCCTCCTCTGTCTTCAGGCAGCACTTTTAATATGAAGGCAAAGAGCTATTCTGATGATGTTTCACTGTTGTGCTGCCCTCCGTTGCTCTTTGTAATTGCCTCTTTCTACTGTTCATTAAAATATATTTACAGTTATATTAAGTTTACGTGAAAATAGTAGACACAGCATGAAGCAGTTTTCATTATGTGGTCATTGTAATTTTAAAGTTTTTTTTTTTTTTCTCTAATGCATTTCCAGTCTTTTGTGTCTAATTCCAAATTAGCAGCTCACACTGGTAATGTGTCTAGTTAATTGTATGCATGTGCATTTAAATTGCATACATTTATGTGAACCTTTTAATATACTGTGGGGTGGTCCCTTTATAGTTAGAGTGGGTCTGGTGCTCAATTCCAAATTAACATACCTCTAGAGGATGCATATAAGCTGATGAAAAAGCAGGGGCTCTGCTGACCCATGTAAGGAAGGTAACAGTACCTGTCAGATGTAACCCTCATACCTTCTTTCCCAGGTTTTTAAAGGAGAAGACAATTAACCATATTCAGGAAACAATGGGAAGTAATTGCACCAAGATTGGAGCAAGCATAGCAATAGCATGATTTGTCAGACTTTATTTGTCCTTACCGACAATTAGTAGTGTGATAATTCTAAGTTCCACAGATTTGTTAGCTGAATACAAACAATGTGAGCCAATGCTCTTTTGGGCTTTTTAGGGTCAGAAAGGAAATGGAAATGCTGAAAACTGGGTAATTTTAGTCATCTCTTGGTATATGTGAGGGATTGATTCCAGGACCCCAGAGTATACCCAAATCCATGGATACTCAAGTCCCCCAATCTGCCCTGCAGAATCAACTTATATGAAAAGTCGGGTCTCCTTTTACACAGGTTTCTCATCCCACAAATGCTATATTGATCCTCGGTTGGTTGAAAAAAATGCTCATATCAGTGGACCCATGCAATTCAAACCTATGTTGTTCAAGGGTCAGCTGTATAAGAATCTATTACTCCTCTCCATTAAAAGATAGTAAATTATTAGGAGATTTTTGGAAATTAAAATATTACATTTATCTGTTCTTTGAATTACTTTATTCTGTTTTTATTCTAACAATTTTTTTTTTACCTGATGAGTGATTAGCTACTTAGTTTCAGGTTTTGAAAATCATGAGATTTTACATTTATCTGTTCTTTGAATTACTTTATTCTGTTTTTATTCTAACAATTTTTTTTTACCTGATGAGTGATTAGCTACTTAGTTTCAGGTTTTGAAAATCATGAGATTTTGTTCATATCAATAGTTTTGGCATATGGGGTAATTCTGGAGTGCTTTCTTTTTTTTAAATGTGAGATTGTAGGCTTGTGCATTTTCTATTCTGCTGAGTCCAGGATTTAGGGCTTAAAGCAATTTATGATCGCAAACCCCAAAATTTTGGGTTCAAAATATTGGGTGATTAAAGTGACTGGGCTTTTTATGTATCCAGCCTTGTACTTTGGTGTGATCTTTTGTGCATAGCTAAAATTATTATTTTTAGTTCTCAAAATTAATATTTGATTTTAAAACTATTTCTAATGATATTTATGACTAATCTTTACAAATCAAAGATGTCCTCTACAGGTTGGTTGATGTTTTTTGAAAAGAAGAATCCAGCTGTTTGAATGAGGCTATTTCTAGCTGTTCTAACTTGGAATCATTCTCAAGCTAAAGCAGTAATGCTTTACCATCCTATGAAGCTTTAGCTTAAATCCCTTTCACTGCTTCTATTTATTAACCACCTGCTGTGTCTTTTTAAATGCCACTGTCTCCACAGGGTTACAGATGCAGATGAGGGGAAAGAGAAA